CTTATCTCAACATTGTGCACGCAATGTGGAGTCACCAAGACTAGTTGCCACATTGCAACTTGGTCGATAGCATTTGATCTGTATTAAAAAGACTTGATACACATGACATTGACCACCATTCAGTGATTAATCAATTGTAAACTACTAAAACCATCATCAAGAAGGTACAAGTATTTCTAAACAGTTTTAATCTCTGAAAAATTCCCATTATATTAAAACACAAGTATATGAGAAATTATTGGAAATAATATTCTTCGTTCATATCATTGTGTTTGTCTATGTAAGATACTCATTGTCTGTTGAGCGGATACCATCAGCGACAGCCTACTGTGGGAGAGATCAAAACGGCTTCCAGTTGAAGAAGAAATTAGGAAAAGACGATGGAAACGGACAGATCATACATTATGAAAGTCACCAAACTGCATCACGAAGGTAGCTCTAACTTGGAATCCTGAAGAGAAGTGGAAAAAAGGAAGACCAAAGAACACATTACGTCAGGAAATAGAAACAGATATGAAAAGGGTGAATGACGACTGGGAAGAGCTGGAAAGGAATGCCCAGGACAGGGTTGGATGGAGAGTGCTGGTGAGCGGCCTACACTCTTTCTCAAAATGTTATCACATAGCCACGCGTATACAGTCACTGTCAAGGAAGTCCTACTCACTACCCTCTCGCGACATCACTGTTAATTATGAAATTGAGAGGATGATAAGTGAATGTTCGGCACATCAACCGGGTTGGTGGACATAGAGAGTTCACTTAGGAAAGTTGAAAAACCCTGATCCCTGAAGGAACAAATGGTGTATGAGCCAATTATTAGTCACCGTCCACTATGATACTGCATCTCCTGACATTGCTTCACTCTCTTGTAGATCAGAACTTTAGATCAAAATCTCCGTATGTGACCCCCTAACAAAACCCCCTGCTACAGTTTGGGCACCGACAATTAAAGGACTTGTGTGACGTATGTAAATTCGGCGCCTCTTTGTTCCAATATCCATATGTTCAAATAAATAGAATTAATTAATTAATTAGTAGAAAAGAAATCCAATCAAGATTAAGATAAAATACTTTTATATTCTCCTAAAGAAAAACAAATAATTAATCATTATCATTGTTATAATTATGTATAATTAACTTATCAATTATTTCCACCCCCTCCCAAAGATGTATTAATCATAAGTTCTTTATGCCATGACAACAAACCGTCTATACTGGTCTACACTATTCGAATACATAGAAATAATATAATTAGATTATCGACGAATGAATAATTGTCAATTATGAAACATTCTGAAGAAAAAGAAGAAGAATTTACTTTGTAAATGATTTATTTTTGCAAACTGTTTGTGTTTTCTTTCTTGACAAGAGAAATCTAGACAGTTTATTTTATAAGATGGTACTTACTTACGCCTGTTACTCCTCGTGAAGGAGCATAGGCCGCTCACCAGCATTCTCCGTCCAACCCTATCCTGGGCAATCCTTTCTAGCTCTTTCCAGTTGTTATTCATCCTTTTCATATCTGTTTCTATTTCCCGACGTAATGTGTTCTTTTGGCCTTCCTCTTTTCCGCTTCCCTTCAAAATTCCAAGTTAGTGCTTGCCTTGTGATGCAGTTTGATGATTTGCGTAATGTATGTCTCATCCATTTCCATCGTCTTTTCCTAATTTCCTATTCAGCTGGAAGTTGGTTTCTTCTCTCCCACAGAAGGCTGTTGCTGCTGGTGGTTAGAGGTAATCAACAGGAAACCTTGGGCCAAGGTTCCATGCTACTTGTCAGTAAACTGTACCTGTAATCTTGAGGGAACTGATACTCCCTGACGGATTCGATCCCGTGCCATCCAGCTTCACAATCAGAGATATTACCACTGAGCTTGCCAGTCCGAGACCTACCTCCTGTACGACTGAGATGTATTAACAATTGATTGATCACTGGATGATGATCAATGTCATTTATATCAGGTCCTTATTAGTGTAAATCGAATCTTATCGACCAAGTTGCAATGTGGCCACTACTCTAGGTGACTCAACATGTCGAGACATAAAATTACAACTTCGCATTACAAAACTGTGCTAACAACCACAAAAAACTAGGTTTGATTATTCCTCGCGATTATCCTTGGTCATCTAAAATGAAAACATAGTCTATTAGATGTTGATGCACTTCAGATGAATGCTACATTTGAATTTCAACGATAGGATATTATCAATATTAAATGATTGTACGAATCCGACATTATTTGTTACTCAGTAATTAACTAGTGTATGATTATGAGCTTGAATAAAACATCATTTAGTATACCATGAGAATTAAATCGAATATTGCCCCCCAAATGTCCTGGTATCGTCGAGAATCGGGAGAGTCCGCTCTCCCACTCGAAATGCTCTCACATGGCCACGCTTATATAGCGTCTGCCAGGGAAGTCCTAATCACTGGCTTCTCGTGGAGGGGGTGTTGTTCACGAAATTGAGAGGACGAAAAGCGAATATCCGGCGCTTTAACCGGATTCTAAACCAATGGTGCATATGGGCTCTAGTATCCTGAGGGAACAAATGGCGTATGAACTAATCGTTGGTCACCGGCTAACATGGGACTGCATCTCCATACGATGCTCCACTGCTTTGTGGATCAGACCTTCAGGTCGAAGGCTCCGGGTGTGACGCCCTAAGAAAACCACCTGCTTCAGTTTGGGCACCCGGGCAGTATCACAGCCCTCACACATATCGAATGAGATTTGTGTGGCGCATATGTATTTGGTGCCTCCTTGTACCAATATCTATGTGTTAAAATAAATAAAAAATCGAATATTGTTGACTTGGTAACTATAAGATCAGTACATATATATATTCGTCTGCCTCAAGTATCATAATGATGAAAATGTATATAGAATTATTGGAAATCAGGATTCTTTTACCAAAAATTATGTATATTTCTCATTGTACTAACGCCTTTCTTTGAAAAAAAAGTAGTCCACATTAGCGGTGGTATGATTTATTGATTATCCTAGTCACCATGGTAACTCTATCGGCTCCATTTTTTTTTGTTTCCCAATTGATTACAAATTCAAAACTAAATGAAACAGGTAGAAATGATAGTTCCATATATTTATTTTTAATCATCTAAATCATTTAATGCTTTGTATCTGTATGAAAGACAGAAAATATTGGTCAATAAACAAAGCTGATTACATAGCTCTTTGGTCAAAATGTGAAAACTAGACACTAAATACTTCGGATTTACTTGATGTTGTTTTAGTTGTATCTTCCCATTGTTTTTTAGGACTGTAATTGATCAGTCTCATGTTGGTATATATGCATCCTGTGCGGATTACCTCGATACTGTCTTAATTTACAAGTATTATAAGCAAAGATGAATAGTGGTTAGCAGGTGGAATCCAGTTTGACGCGCGTTTTATCCTATTTAGGACTCGTCAACGATATGTACCTGCATCTCAGAGTTGATGTTCACCCTGGGACTCGAACCCAGTACGCGCTTCTTGGACTCCACTTCTATCCATTATTCATCTTTCCTTAAAATGTTTGTGACTTAAGGTTATTTCGAGGCAATCCTCACAGGATGCACATATGCCAACATGAGATTGATCATTTACAGTCCTAAATAACGATGGGAAGATACAAATAAAACAACACCAAGTGAATTTAAACTTCACCCGATTGCACAAGCAGATGGCTATCACGACTCAGTAACTGAATGGATAACGTGATAATGTTTGAAGCGGACAGTGCTGGGTTCGAGTCTCGGAGTGAACATCAACTCTGGGATGCAGGTACATCCAGCTGACCAGTCTCAAATAGGACGAAAACGCGCGTCTTCGATTCCACTGCTAGCCACTATCAATCTTTGCTTATTAAATACTTCATTTGCAAATTCCCCAATTGCATCAAAGATTATCGTTCCTTGATTTCTATTACAATTACTCTCTTTGATTCGATCTGCTCAACCTTCTGCTACCGGTATTCCACTTTAAGATGATATTACATGCCACTAATGTCTGTCGACATAAGTAGCATACACTACACTAATAGTGAAGATTATCCTATATCACAAAACTACTCGGAATAAGATTACTGGAGTAGAATGGCATTCTCATCAACTAAGTGAATATGTGTGAACAATATCTTTTAATCATTAAATAGCACCGATGATAGTCAGTTGTCTACAACGTAGGACAAGGCACATCTATGCATCAGTCCAATTTGCCACACGTCATTAGCACACCAATATGACCACCAAATTCATAGAGGCAGTTAATTTAATGGCAATAAAAAAAACATTCCATTTAAGGATATGATACAGGAAGAAAGAATTAGTTGGTACAATGAAAGGTATAAGGTAATTTTAGTCCCACTGTTTAAGGGAAGACAAAGAGGGTATCGTGATCGATTCTTAACCATGTTACCAAACCATTGGTCGCGTGGACCCCAACCAAGTGGTCTGCATATACCAACATGGCTCACACCAGAAGTTAGTGACTTCAAGCACTGACCGCCACTAATTTTCTTCCAACCATCCCCAACACTAGTCAGCTTTGTGCGTCGTGATAATCGATGTTCAGGCATACGTAACACGTAGCCCAATCATCTCAGTCGATGAAGATTCATAGCCTCATCAACTGATTTACCATCATTCCCTAATACCCTATGCCTAGCCTCACTATTACTCACCCGATGATCTCATCAGATGCGAGCAATATTTCTAAGACATCTGTGGTCAAATACTAGTAACTTACGAGTATCTTCTACACTTAATGACCACATTTCGTCGCCGTAAAGTAGAATAGAACGATCTGTTGCACAGTATACTCGTTCCTTAATTAAAAGACAAATATCTCACCTTCACCATAGTTGTTGACGTAAGTTGACGAAAGCCAATAAGTAATAGAGACATAATCATAAGATTTTCATTTTGCCCTACTATATTTCCACCGCTTACATACTTATACCTTAAGAATTATGGTAGCAACGAAAAGAATCGCTCAATAGAAAAAAAAAACGTATTTATTCACCTTATTGCAATTCGTTTTATCACTTTTAATAGTAACATTAATAATAATAATAATAACAGTAACTGTTATGTAACACTATAACAGGAAATAGATCTCAAGTTTCATACAATGAATTATTAGCACAACAATGGAATCAACATCAAGAGAGAGAGAGAGAGAAAAAAATCAAAGAGGAAAATAAATAAAAAGAAATTAGACAAACTTTATAACAAATTCAAAAAAACAAATAAATAAAAGGATCCGGATAAGATTAAATCATGACAAGAGGTTAAATGTAGACAATTCCTCGAACATAGATAGAATGAAAAGATAGAGAAAGAGAGAGGGAAGGTAGGAAGCAGGGAGGGAGGGAGGGGGGTAGGGGAGGGGGAAGGGTACGGAATGAAACATATTCAATTCATAGTATTACTATGATCAAATAATAATTTTAAAAAAAAACGATTAACTATAAAACCCAATGAAATAATTATGTACGACAATATGATCTGTATATTTTCTAAAAAAAAAAGGAAAATCAATAATCCCCATGGTGATAATGATGCTCATCATCATCATCACCATGGAGATTATTTTACTTGTATGATATATTTCAATGTTGACTAACACTAGAAGCTTTACGTTTAATTATATGATTAACTTTTGAAGTGATTAATTGACATACATCAGTTTCAGCTAATAAAGCCGTAGTTGAAATTGATTTATGATGATAATCATTTATGATTTGTTTATCAGTTTCCATATTAGTAGAATGATGTCGATGTGGTAATGAATGAAATTCAGGCAATGTATCATTATTATTATTATTATTATTATTATGATATGAATGATGTTTACTATGGATTGTTGTTGTTGTTGTTGTCTTGAATGATGTAACCGTTGAAGAACTTGATAAAGAACGATGTAATTTTTTGTTTAAATGTTTATGAAATGATGATAATGATGTAAGTTTTTTTAATTTATTCTCATCTATACCATTGATATTTTTTAAACCTAATGATGATAATGATGATGAAGATACAGATGATGTAGATGGTGGTATTGAAGGTAATAATGATAATAATAATTTCAAAGTATATGGATCTGTAGATTGAGATGAATGTTTCAAATTCTAAACAGAGAATAGTAGAAATAACTTGATTTAAAGATATGAAAGTAAACAATTGATTATTATCGATAGAGAGAGTATGAGACAAATGTAACGCCGTCCATATATATATGACATTGCCACAATGAGATTCAAATAGTGTAGTATCAATGATATTAAGAACAAATTGAACATTTAGAACGGGTAATTATCATGGGCTCATCAGTGACTAGCTTTGTGAGGGAATTCTCGGAGGTTCTAGTGAGAAGCCGTGACCAGTAGAGCTAATCCATGTCAAGTAGAGACAGATATCTACTTCAGGACAATGGAAGATGGTCGCGCATTTTCGTGGATTGGTTGAGGTTAGACATTAACACCACTGGATGCAGGCTGGCTCAGTGGTCCAGTAGGTTAAGAGTTCGAGCGCGAGACTGAAGGTCATGGGTTAGACTCCTATTCGAATACTGCGGAGAGGTGGTCAGTGTGTGATATGGTACCGTGGTATGAAAGAAAGTTGTACAGGACTGGCTTCTGTTGATCCTTCATAATTCTCTGGTTAGGATCTTAGAGACGGTGCAACACAGTGGCATGAGACGTTATCAGAGATGAATCAGAATAGAAGCCAGTAGTGATCCTGCTGTAGCTTTTTTCATAAAAGTGAATGTAACATTTTTTTAACTGAAAGAATTCTTTCTGGTTATATTTTTGCAAACTGAACTGTTTCTCCCATTATTATTACTTCACTCTTATACACTGATTTTCTTATACGCACTTTACATTCTTCATCTCTTCACATTTTCATTTTTATTGGCTTAGCGAATATGTATTTGGTGCACTCTTGTACCAATGTTTATGTGTTAACATGAATAAATAATTTTTTTTGATTGAGATCTTGGACTAATTGATGTTAGACTATTATTGAAAAACTTGAAGCAATGGATGGCCGTTACGTCCTATTGTTGAACTCCTCAAAAGTGATCATCCACGGCCCCACTCGCGGGATTCGAACCAGGGCCTGCAGTCTAGCACGCGAACGATTAACCTCTAGACCGCTGGTTCGGCATCCAATGATGTTATCATCTAACTTAAACCAACCCCTGAAATCGCGCAACCATCCAATATTGTTCGAGCGCGAGACTAAAGGCCCTACATTTAAATCCCGCGAGCGGGATCGTGGATACGCACTGCTGAGGAGTCCCACAACAGAACGAAACGGCCGTCCAGTACATCTGGGTTTTCAACGGTGGTCTAACATCATCAATCAGTTCATGATCTCAATCAAAGACTTAATAATCTCCACAACTCCTATACTGCAAATAAACTTTCATCAAAACGAAAGGTTGAAAATCATTTCAGTATTAACCACAGTAATCAGTGAATAAAAAAAGATTTTGTTTTAATCTGTCAATTCAATAAGCAGCTTTCAATATTCAATATTTTTATAGTTTCACATGTTGTATATTACCAACATCATTAGTAAAATTACTTTGCGTATTTTTATTGAACAAATGACAATTCAAGTTAGCTACTACTAACTTCACCATATATAACTTTAATTTATACATTCAATAATAATAATAATAATAATAATAATAATAATAATAATAATAATAATAATAATAATAATAATAATAATAATAATAATAATAATAATAATAATAATAATAATAATAATAATAATAATAATAATAATAATAATAATAATAATAATAATAATAATAATAATAATAATAATAATAATAATAATAATAATAATAATAATAATAATAATAATAATAATAATAATAATAATAATAATAATAATAATAATAATATAATAATAATAATAATAATAATAATAATAATAATAATAATAATAATAATAATAATAATAATAATAATAATAATAATAATAATAATAATAATAATAATAATAATAATAATAATAATAATAATAATAATAATAATAATAATAATAATAATAATAATAATAATAATAATAATAATAATAATAATAATAATAATAATAATAATATAATAATAATAATAATAATAATAATAATAATAATAATAATAATAATAATAATAATAATAATAATAATAATAATAATAATAATAATAATAATAATAATAATAATAATAATAATAATAATAATAATAATAATAATAATAATAATAATAATAATAATAATAATAATAATAATAATAATAATAATAATAATAATAATAATAATAATAATAGATCTTCATTTCCATTCCCCCCTCACCTACCTACCCCCCCTCCCATTTATTACACACAATCAACTACTATTACCTCTGGCTACATAATCTACAGAATTGTAAATGTCTATTCCTATCTCTCTCTCTCTCTCTCTTTAAAACATCATAAACAGTTGTGTGTACACTTGATTTTTACAGTAGAACGTTACAACTACTGATTAAAGTAACAACAACAACAACAACAACAACAAAAAAACACATACTTCGTCAACTGAAAACTTCTGATGTACTCTTTACTCCAACCAGAAATTGTTGAAGCTTCAAACTAGTTTTGATTATTAGTATTATGATTATTACTGCTTAAAATCTTAGCATAACTGACTTTTTCACAATTGATTGATCACTGGGTGGTGATCAATGTCATGCGTGTCAAGTCCTTCTTAGTGCAATGTGAAGTCATCTAGACTAGTGGCCACATTGAAACTTGGTCGATAGCATTCGATCTGCACTAATAAAGACTTGATACACACAACATTGATCAATCAATTGTGAATACATCTCAGTCCTACAGGACGTCGGTCGCGGCACAAATAGCCCAGTGGTAACACCTCTGACTGTAACGCTAGATGACACGGGATAGAATCCGTCAGTGAGCATCAGTTCCCTCAAGATTACAGGTACACCTTGCTGACGAGTGCAAAGTAGCACGAAATCCGGGTTCAGGGTTGCCTGTTGGCTATCTCTAACCACCATCTTATGACTGATTTTTTTATCCCTTTATTCTATCTTCTCACTAATTCACTTGTTCATATCAAATCAAACCGAGGCATATATATATATATATATATATATATATATATATATATATATATATGGGTATGTATAAATTCGAAACCAATAAGTCAAAAACCTTGTTGATTACATTTTCATGCTAATTACTGAAACCTGGTAGCTAGAACTAATAATATGTTCCTGGGGATATGCTAAATACTTGAGACTAATTAACATCTCAATATAATGCAAGGGATGTCGTGTCATTTAACCTACTAATAGACATATTATAAATTGATCAATAGCAGCAGTAGGTCACGACATACACAAAGGGAAAAGCAAGATTCTCGAATACAATACAACACAACATGCAACAATCGAATCACACTTGACGGGGAAGATTTGGAAGATGTAAAAACCTTTATATATTTGGGCAGCACCATTGATGAACACGGTGGATCTGATGCAGATGTAAATGCGCAGATCAGCAAAGCAAGAGCAGTATATCTACAACTGAAGAACATCTGGAACTCAAAACAATTGTCTGTCAACCAACACCAAGGTCAGGATTTTTAATACAAATACTAAGACAGTTCTACTGTATGGGGCGGAAACCTGGAGAACTACGAAAGCCATCATTCAGAAGATACAAGTGTTTACTAACAACTGTCGACGTAAAATACTTCGAATCTGTTGGCCAGATACTATCAGAAACAACCTACTGTGGGAGAGAACAAATCAGATCACAGTGGAGGAAGAAGAAATCAGGAAGAAGTGCTGTAAAAGGATAGGATACACATTGAGGAAAACACCCAACTGCGTCACAAGACAAGCCCTCACGTGAAATCCTCAAGGCTGAAGGAGGAGAGAAAGACCAAAGAACACAATACACCGAGAAATGGAGACAGATATGAGAAGAATGAACAAAAATTGGATAGAACTAGAAAGGAAGACGCAGGATAGAGGGGATTGGAGAAGGTTGGTCGGCGGCCTATGCTCCATTAGGAGTAACAGGCGTAAGTAAGTAAGTAAGCAAGTAAGTAAGTAATTTGATCAATAGAATTCGGTCAATCGTTAAAAGACATTAAACAAACACGATATTTAGTCATCAAATGAATAATTAATCCAATTGAAATATTACCGTTAAGAATAAAGGATATTCATTAAGCTATTAGTATTAGATCATAGGTGTCTACAAAGCATTGTTTGTGTATTTTGGAGCCACGAAGTAAGTAATACCTCTGTTAAGAATTAGGTACTGGGTAGAAAAAAATGGCAAATCAATTGATGAGGTGGTAAATCTCCACCAATTGAAACATTTGTTACACATCACCAACCACTGTCTACATCGACGAGCGATCTCTTACGATTTAGAAGTAGGTTGGAAGAAAGCTAAGGGTGACCAAACCAAAATATGGCATACATCCATAAAGTTATTAGCATTTAGACTTGTTATCAAGTATAAACCACCAGGTTGGAGTCTGAGTGATTATAGACTAACCAGTGGTTAGGGACTCTGAATGACATGGTTCAAGATCGTTTGCAATGATACAGGTGGATTTATTTTTGTCGTACCTGGAATTCGAAGATTTTGAATTTCTTATAATTTTTTATCAAATTTATATTTTCTTAAATCATATATTCGATTCCTAATCTTTTCTACTTCTACTGACAATACAATTGTCTTGAGTACTCTGGGATATGCTCTAAAAATTTTATCTTGACGTGGATGGAGGGAGAGTTCACTCCATCTCTTGAAATGCTCTGACACATCAACGCGTTTACAGCCACTGTCAGGGAAGTTCTACTCATCGCCTTCTCGGGGCGGCGGTTCTGGTTACAAGATTTGACAGGACGAAAAGCGAATGCCTGGCGTTTTAACTGGGTTGTCGAAAATGGAGTATACACGTCGGGGAGTTGGAAAACCCTCATTCCGAACCAATGGTGCACATGGACTCCAGGATCCTGGGGAAACAAATGGCGTACGAACCTATTGTTTGTCATCGGATACCATGAGACTGTATCTCCTTACGTTGCTCCATTGCCTTGCGGAT